TAAATAGGTAATATAGAAAAGTTACATGTGTAGCCAATTGTACACTCTCCTGTAGTGGTTCATTGAACCACAATACCAACAAGTAATTAATAAAAGTCAAAAGACCAAAGAGGTCACCTTAAAAAAAAAAAAAAAAGAAATCTATTTGTTACAAATTATCTTGTACTAATTTGCTACAAATAAATTTTGTACTCAATTACACAATAGTTACTATAATACCCAACTATTTATAAATTTGTACTACATTAGCCACACCAGCTACACTAGCCACAAACTTGTGTCACCTAGATTACACAAGCCGCAGCAGCCACAGTAATCATAGTCAAACCTCTGTAAATACAAATTATACCCTGCAATTAAATTTATATTATAATTAAATTTTTAAAATCTTTAATCAAAGATTACAAAAAATTTTACTAAGTAACCTAAACTCCAACTTCTAAGTAAACTCGTAGCACTATGGCTACTCTTAGCACATAAGCACCAGATACCTTAGATCTTAATTATTTCTTTAAGAATCATGCAAATTCCTATGGTATCACTATCTATGAAAAGGAACCTAGACAAGTACAAGCTATTCTGGACAAATACAGGCCTACCAAATGTATTACTATAGAACTTAGAACTTATCCAGCAACCCATATCTTTCCTGCTCCTACAACAACTGCAACAGGCAAGTGATGTGTGGATTATTTCATACTTAATTCATTGCAGAAAACAATAAAACATATAAACATAATACCCAAACTAATGAAACAACAACCAACAAACAAGCTAAAAAACTCCAACAAATACTTAAGAAATCAACAACTAATGTTCTACCATCCCCTACCACCACTATTCATACACACATTTATCCTAAATGTCAAATCCCAATTAACTACAAAGTGACTAACAATAATCATACATTACAAAATGAATCAACTTTCTATTAAAATACAGCATATCATAACAATTGTTTAGCTAAAATTTATAAAGAAATTAGCTTAGCAAATCAACCCAAATCCTAACCAACTGAAAACCTAGAACAAGGTTCATCTTCACAATATAAGCCTCCAATCCAACAACTTACTACCTTTCCACTTGATCAACAACAAAACAACCTTCTTAATTCAGAATTATTATTTACTTCACCTAATCTCGAAGAAACAACTAGTACTAACAATGATATAGATATTGACAGCTTTACTACACCACCAAAATCTCAAGAATTACAAACTCAACAAACACAACAATAACAATAACAACTTCTACATCAAGCTTCACCATTACTAAACAAACAACAAATCAACAAAAAACCAATTCAACAAGCTCAATTGGCTCAGTCCTATAGCCAAGCAACAAGACTCAAACTTAATCCATCATATGACTTTTTAGCAAACTTCTCAGTTACTTAGGAAATGCAAAACCATACAAAACTACAAACAGAAATATCATGAAAATTCTTTAATTTTCTTAAAGAACATCTTCACAACTTCTATTCTGACAAAGTTATTAAAGAAGCAGTCAGAAATCAAGATGCACTTAAAGCAAGCTTTTACCTACTAATTAGGCAAATGGCTGGTGCTAGACCTCAATTTCTTACTAACTTAATACAACAAAACAATGCTGATAATGATAAAGCTGTTACAATACCATTTAGTATTCTCGAAAAAACACTCAAAAAACTTATTTTTATATTTACAACAGTTCTCTTTACTAAACTTAATTATTCTGAAATATTCACCTCACCTATCACTATTTCACCTATTCAAACTCACAATCATTTACAATTTTGTATTAATCTTGCCTGACTTTACCTATATTTCTCTGATAATTATCAAGCAATTAACTATACCAAATTTGCAAAAGATATTAAACTTAAACCTAAAAGATTTAATATTACATCTAAGGTTACCAAAGTTAATAAACAATACCAATTTCTTTTTATTAAAATAGATAATCGATTTAATATTAAACTTAATTTCAACCTTTCTAAAACCCTATTCTTTCAAAAATATAATATACCATCTTTAAAAAATTCACTTGACTCTTCAATGAATGGTTTGAAAAAATCTTTTCTATATACAGTCACCAATTATCTAATACTATCAACAAAACCAAAGTTCAAAACTAACTTAAGTATGAATTTAGACAAAATTTTATTACTCACCTTAAAAAACTTTTACCAACTACAATCAAGTTCAAAAAACCAACTAGTATTTATGAAAGATGCAATGAAACCTTTAGACATGCTAATTATCATATACTTATCTGCACAGATCCTAAGTGCTCTTATTTTGAACCAGTTATAACTAAAGATAAAGAAAAGAAAAAGGAATCTGACAAAGAAAAAGAACCTAAAACTGAAAAGAAATCCAATAATACTTAAAAAACAAATCTTAAGCCACAACTTATACATAACTCAACTAAACTTATTAGGAATATATTTAACATATCATATAATATCTATCCAAAAAAAATTGAAGCTTGGAATGAACCCTTTCTTGATGCTTCAATATTCTATGTTAAAGGTAAACACGAAACTATATTTACTAAACAAATCCCTACTACTGTTTTAGATGAACTGGGAGCAAAGGCTGAAGAGTATACCTGCTCTGCTAACCTTGTCAGAACTAATCCAAAATGACAAGCCTTCTTTTTTTAACAATATCTAACTATATACCAAAACACTGCTGCAGAAAATCACAATATTGACAAAATGGACAAACAACAGGCTATCAACTTTCTTATACCTAAACTTATTGACACTGACTTTCTTGCACATGTCATTATATACTTTAACTGTACTTATAATGAATCTTCTAACTATTCCACAATAACTAAATTTTACAAAGAAAAAGCATTACCAGAAGCTAAAGCTATTCTACATAAAAAATTCTATATTAAATTCAAGATACCAACATCTATCACAGAGTTACTCTTCTTAGAACAAGAAGAACAAGCTCCTTTTCAATAAAATTGTCTTCTACAAAACCTATAGATGCAGTTGCCATCCTATTAAATAATACATTCACAGTAGTTAATAGGAAAAATAAAGTAAGTAGACAGGCGGTAAAGCCTATTTACATGGAAGGCCAAGATTATGATAGTCAGACCCAATGTACAGAGCAGACTTTGGTATCTTGCACAGCAGTTAGAGCTGAGCATACAGTGATCAACCATGTAGAAGACAATCTCAGAAGATCATTCTCAACATCTTTAAGCCTCTATGATCTTTATACATGTTTTAACAAATTCCTTCTTTATTATAACTTATCACTTCTTCCTCATGGTCAAACGATTCAATCTCTTATACAACATATTAACAAATACAATCCTAATAATACTGTCTCTAGTATCACTTTCTCTGTAAGCAATACTTACAATGAAACCCACATATATCTTCCAAATGACTTTCTCTTACCTAATTATACTGTTATTTACCCTTATCTTCTTTCTATCTTTTACAACCTTCCTCTTAGATCAAATCTCTCTAATCCTACTTCCATCCTACCTGATTTATTTCTAAACAGTCATACTACACCACAAGTACTCACATCTACACAACTTTACATAACCTTCACTTAAACATTTGTACACACAATGTCAGAGGTTATAATATAGTAACTAAAAGAGAAGATTGGTAAAATTATTGTCTTCACAATAATATCCACATCTCTTGTTTTACTGAAACTAAAATCACTAACAATACTAATCTTCAATTTTACAATAACAACTTATTTACTTACTTTTGGGCTAATTCAGAAAGTTCAGCAGAAGGTACTGCCATTATGATCCAAAAACACTTACAACCATATATACACAACTGCAAAACACATCCTGGTAGAGCAATCACTTTAGATCTATTTTTCAAAAATGAAATCAAACTTCGAATTATAGCTGTCTACCTTTCTTCTACTGATATGCAAAAATGTAACAATACACAAAATACTGTTATCATATGGATCCAACAAGCTCTTCAACACAACCTTCATCCAATAATATTTGGAGACTTTAACACACATGATGATATCTGTAGCTCTTTATCCAAGTTCAAACTTATTAACTATTTACATCACTCTAACATGTTTGACCTTAATGCACATATTGATAACAAGCACTTTACATGGTCAAACAATACTAGCCACAGTCACATTGATTATATTTGGACTGATTCATTCAATATCTAATTCTTTCTTTCATATAAACTTGATGATAGCAATACCTTAATACTTAGTGACCATTTTATTCTTATATCTACCTGAACTTTCACTAATGCATATAGCAAACCTCTACATTATCATACTGGCATTAGCTGCAGAATCTTCAATTACAAAACTATGTCAACTGACAAATGGACAGAATTTGCTGACTTTCTTTCTCACAATCTTAGCCTTCACAATATGTCACTCAATAGCGACACCAATAAAAGCATTGAAACTACTTGGCACAAGATTGAATATTCAATAATTAACACTGCAATACATTCTATCCCTAACAAAAAAACTCATAAACATAGCTACAATCATCAATATTCCTCTAACTCTACCTTAATCTACACATCATTCAAAGAGCTTGGGCATTTAATAAAAATTATTAAAAATACTCACAACAACCTTAACATAAACATGATAAACTTTAGAATTAAGTCTATTAATAATAGATCCTATTGTGACCTTCAAACTTTAGACTCAGATGATAATTCTCAAATTTATGCATGAATTCAATATGTACAAGATATCTGGAAACAACTTTATCATGCTCATCACACAGAAAACTCATTATTACTTCATCAACAAATCCAACAAGCAACTGAAAAAAGATGTGAAATGCTTTCTACACATCCTAAACAAGCTATTAACAGTATTCTTAACTGATACAAAGCTCTTATACATTTTTTCAATATCAAACTCCCTAACCAACTTATTACAGACCCCAAACTTATAAAACAGCATATACAATCTTACTTCCATAACTGAACTGCATATTGACCAACTGACCAAGCACTGTTTGACAGCTTCTGGCATACATACTATCAACCACAACTACATATTAATACTAAATAATACAACTCTCTTAACTCTCCTATTACAGAAGATGAAGTACTTCAAACCTTGTCACAACTCCTGAATGGAAAAGCCTGTGGACCCACAGGCATCAGCTATGAAATGCTTAAACATGCAGGTACTACTTGCATTAAAGCTATTACAGCTCTATTTAACCATTGCTTTAACTCAAGCCAAATTTCCAAACAATAGAAACATGATAGAATTTACTTGATTCCAAAATGTAATATATTTAATAGTAATCTAAGTCTCACTCGCCCTATTAGTCTTATCAAACATATTCAGAAAGTCTATACAAAAATTATCACTACTAGAATCAGTACTGTGTTTTCTCAACATCCAATACTCTTACCTTACAACTATGTAGCTCTACCTAATAATAGCATATCTATACCAATTTATATACTTAACAATCTTATTGAAGATGCATTATACAACAACAAACCAATTTGGCTTTTATTTCAAGATATAAGTAAAGTATATGATTCAGTTAATCTTACTCTTCTTCAAAAATCTATACAATGCCTTGCCCTTCCTCATTTTATAATAAATGCTATCACTAACATCCTTCATGATCGACAAAACCAAGTCATTACAAACCTTAGACTTACTCCATCATACCATGTACATAACAGCATTGATCAGAGTGAAACTATTACTCCTCTCTTATGAAGAATTTACTATGACCCACTTATCTCATACATTTATAACAACTTCAAGAGCTATACTACACAAGTCTCTTGGTTAACTAATCTAAAACATCAAACATATAACAAGCT